CTAGGCACCTTGCGGAGACTGAGACTGGGCTTCAGCACATGTGCACCCACGCAACTCGCTGCAAAACTGCATCCCATTCTGGCGACACTTGCACCTGTTCGGCACACACCCCTTCTTGCAGTTACATTTCACAAGTGCCTGGCACGCGTCGGATGCGACTGGCAGGGTGCGCCACACCGGTTTCCACACATGTCCGTCCTTCATCCAGCCAAACTTTGAGGGGTCCGGTACGTTTTGCATCGGTTGCACTGCTTGGTGCCAGATTTGCGCCTGCAGCGAGGCGCGGTAGACGCTGTTCCAGTGCGTCCTGGTGGGTGGAAGATTGTCCGTTTGTCTGGTGTTCTTGGTAAAGAGGATCCTGCGGCACTCATTTACTGTTTTGCACAAAACTGTCCTAAAAATATAAATAAATAAACAAATTACAGTAAACAGGGATGCACTGGAATTCGTTCACAAACTTACGTATGCACAATGTTCTTACCTGCTGTACATTGTGACAGTAAATGATTCCAGGTTTTTCATTGCCTCTAGAACGTCCCCATTTTGCAGGGCTTTAAAGGAATCCGTGGCATTGGTATGCTTGAACCAAGCATTCACGGCGGTCACTTTCCCTATTCCGCGGAAATACGAAACGGTGTCGCAACCAGTCAACATACTCTTTTGTTAATGCGGCCATTTTAAACACTCACTGTACTTCCTGATCAGTTTCATATTGGAAACAAGGCCAGCTAGAGCTAAGCCATTCAGTTGCCCCTTATCAGGACCTAAAATCAAAAACAGAAAAAAAAAACAGTTTTAATATTTATTTGTTATTGATCTTTTTATTTTAAGAAAAAACACTCAAGAGAAAACGTTTACCTGACGAGATTTCTGATGAAGCCGACATTCTTTTAACCCTTTTCATGTAATTGGCTCGACATTTGTTATGGTAGTTGGCTTTGAGGGTATGAGCCATAGTCACTAGCACCCGCCAGTTTCGCCAGCAATTGCGTGTCTTCATTTTTTTGGCACAATCATATATTTCTTGGCTGCAGTGCTGAGTTGAAACAGTACTCAAAACGTGATATCTTGTACCAACGCTTCCACAAAATAAACATATATCTGGGGAAAATTACTCTTTTTTAGTCCGTGTCTTGACAGGGGAAATCAATGGCAATGCAGGTTCACTAGGTCTAGGCTTCTTTCTTGCTCTCTCGAGTCTTGATGAGCTGAACTCAAGGTAACAGGTTCTGTGCCAGCCTGCTGCTTTGTTGATCAGGGTATCTAGCAACCCTGCGCCTTCCTTGAGGGACGACACATTGAGCCCTTTTGGCACCTGTCCAAGTTTCTCAAACTCTTCCAAATTCTGTGCCAATTTAGAGTAGCCTTCATTTTTATCAGGTCTGTCACTTCTACCGGGGAAAGTGAGATCTTCTCCCGTACTTAACTGACACAAAACACAGATTCCCCAATCTACCTCAACAGACTTAGGCTCTATAATGTCCACCGAAACATCAAATAACTTAAATCTCTTCGACATGATTCAATAAAACCTGCAAGTAACAATAGTGTTATGGCGGGAATCATGGACGAACGCGAGAAAGAAAGATGAGTCAGACTTACCTCCAACAGCTTTTCCGACGAATGAAGAGAACAGTCCCTAACGCACAGTAATACCAGAAGCACTATTCATAATGAAGCATACAGTTAACACCCCACTTTATCCACAAAAGAATACTCCGCAACAAACTTCCCGCACTGGACGCGGAGGGAATACACAAAAGCTGCGCCTTGTAGCAAACCGACCAAACGCCCTCCCGGCTCGAGTATTGTTGTAACCGCCCCCCTCCCTTACCCTTCCGGCACACCGCAGCCGGCCGCGAGCCGCTGGGCAGAGATGACCACCGGGGACCCTGCCGGGAAGCTACGCGCGCGAATTTTAAAAACACTGAGTGCAAATTTTGTGGTTTGCGCAGTTCCTCCCTCTGTGTGGTTAGGCAACCCGCGTTAATGGCTAGTCTGACGTCCTCCTGAGTATTTTTTTTAGCTTCAGCGAGGTGAAAAACCCCCGTGCAGAAGTTTTTCGCGGCGAAAAAGCCCCAAATGTAGGTCATTCCACTGCCAACTGAGTTACAGCGTTTTTACCGCCGCCATGTTAAAACCAGGTATCAAATCGGCCCCGATGGCCATGGAGTGCCTTCAGACACTAAAAAAAAAGTGCTCGCCAATTTTCAGCTAAATAGCACAAAAATCGGGCGAGAAATAGCCTCCGAAGCGCTAAAACAAACATTTTGCCCCTGAAGGTAGGCAACCCGCCAAAACGAGGTCCCCACCATGACCCCCACCTTGGCAACATTTCTTAAATCGAAGAGTAAGGTCTAAAGATCATCTGTATTGTAAGGCCTTCCGGTTTTACTCTAAAACGGACGGCGGTCTTTGCTCGAGCGCCACCCTCTGAGTTATTTGAAAGCGACAAAGGGATCGCTTACGGATGTTTGCCAGATAACTAAGTGGAGTTCGGATGTCCAAGGCTTCGATAGTTGGAGTAGAAAATTTTCGAAACCACATTAACTTCCAAAGGGAGTCGAAAGGATAGGACAGGGAAACAATAATTTACTTCAGTCAAAGTAATACTTAAGTCAGTTTATTATAATAATAATAATTTAAAAAAAAATATTACGATATGAAATTTCGGTGGCGGTACTTTATTTGGAATTTTATTTATCAGTAGGTATAAAAAAAAAATTCAACTAGAATACTAAATAATAAAAAGAAACCAGCTGGATTTCGGTTCAATATGCATAATATAGGTACAATAGATCGGAATGTCGGTTCCTAGTGGTTTCGGTAACAAAAACTCATGGACAAAATAAAATTTAAATAACAATTTCGGAAACAAAATATTTGCCTTTTTCCACGGGTTTGGAAAAAAGGGAAAATCAGTGAAACAGTTTCCTGGAAAAAATCTTATCAATTCCAGAAACAATTTAAAAAGCCAACTTTCGGTTTTCTGAGCTGACGGTAAAAAAAAATTCAACTGGACGGTTACTGATTGCCCCAAATATAATTTGTAGTGAAATTTCGGTTCAGAGATCAGGGCGAAAAAAAAACGTGCGGGACAACTATTTCCATTGACTAGAACTAATTGTGCCTCACGCAATTCGAAAGTCGAAGACGCTGTGCTAGTAATCTCGTTCTGAATAGACTAAAGTCGGAGATTCTTAGCCCACATCTTTCAACCAACAGCCCTGCTCGGATTTTAATTGAAGTTATAGCTCGGAATACGGCAGAAAAAAAATATTAAAATTAACGGTACATACCGGCAGAATATTCACTGGCACAAAATTAATTACAGGAAAAAAAAAAAAAAAAAAAAATAATTTTTCGGACTTCTAGTCTAGTCGGGGGTCGGTCAGCTAGTCCCTCTTTTCCGAAATCTTTTTCGGCTCGCTGGGTTCGGTCCCCACTTTGGTGGTAAAGTAGTAGGGCGGCTGGGCGACGCGGACGCCTGTTGGGGCATAGAGCTTGTCCATCATGTGTTTGGCCTAGAGGGAGTTCGCAATGTGTTTGCGTTCGGTGGGCGAACGGAAAATTTCTGTAACTTCGTTACAGTATATAACGAAAAATTCTGTGGTGTGTTGACTGTGTTGTAAACATTTTGAAGAAACCGAAATAATTAGTTTTGAAACAAACAAGGATAAAGGCGTAGTTCGAGAGTTCAAACTAAAACGTCCAACTCTTTAAAGTAGGTACCTCTTATTTTCGAAAATCAGCTCAAGTATTTGAATGGACTCGCCTTCCGACAAAATCCCGAAGAAAGAAAAAGTTAGATTTTCAAAAGACATACTGAAACATAGGCCTATAACACTTTAGACTCTAGAAATATATTCATTTAAATCAATTATTTACTGTTCTTATTTACACAAATAGTTAAATTATTCATTGAATTACTGTTTTTGGCCCGTTAGTACAATAAATTATGCATTTTTTGTGATTCATATCAATAAAATAAAAAATATATATTTATACAAACAAACACCACCAGCACCACTTGGCGGTAAGATTGCGGTGTTGCCTTTTTAACTTGTTAAATGTAGGAGGCTGTGGCTATTTACATATACTTTATGTTCTATTGTAGTGAATGTGAAATATTTATGACTGGGAAAATAAGTGTACTTGTATTTTTCATTGATCTTGTTAACCCATCCGAAAATGTTTACGAAACTCGAATATTCTTGTTTTGTATCACCAAGAGAACAACTACTATTTATTATACATCAACTGGGAAAATAAGTGCTAAAAAATTTCACTGCCTCCTGGACTATAAGATATGCTTATCTAAAATTTCGGAATTATGTACCAGAATCAAGTTAGCATGTTCGCCAAAAGAAATAGTCGTAAATTATGAAATTGCAATTCATAACGCAGCGACTCTGGTGTAGAATGACATAAAAATTACTGGCTGCAGGCAGGCTTTTATTTTTAGAACCAGATGACGTTGAAGATTTTTATTTTTTCGAATTGTTTGAGATAAAGCCGCAAAATACAAATTTGGAAAAATTTTCAGATTATCTTTTGCATACATATTTGACCAAAGAATCAAAATTTCCACCCCACATTTGGGCAAGTGCATCTGCAGCTCTAAATAAAACCACATATGCCTGCGAATCATTTCATGCGCATTTTAATAATTCAATTTATCAGACACATCCGTCTATATTTATTTTTCTTGAACAACTTTCAAACATACAAACAGAAACGTATGTTAAGTGCAATAGTATTAGTATACCGCATAAATCTCGAAATTTAGCCATAAGGAAAAAGCAAGAGTTAATTGAGGATAAAATAATAAAGTATAGAACTAAGGAGATTTCAAAATTATCAGATGTAAAAATAGTTTCCTATTATCATTCTCAGAAGTAGATTTTTGTATAATGTATTCTATTTTGTATATTTCTTTTTTTATATTTAATAAAAATTATATCTAAATGAAAATGTATGTTATTTATTTTCTATCCAAAATGGGCCTAATAAATGAAAAATATGATTTGAATTTGGAGACTCGGGCCGAGTTTGATTATTTAAAAACAGGTAGATTTCAATGTCGGGCCAAATTGTCCATTTTTATAAATTATACCAGTGCCCCCGGGCCGAGATTGACGACGCCCGTCCCAACACGATTTATGCACTATAGCATAACAATTTATGCAGCAATATACTTTCAGTTCCCATTATTTGTGACATTTAAAATTCATTGTGTCAGTGATTCCACTTTTATTAATTATTAAATTGATTTAAACTTGTGTTTACAAATTTTCGTCGTTGTTTACTAAGAATAAAAACAAAAAAACAGCTGTTTTTTGTTGTTGTCAAAACCGCTGAAGGCCAGTCGATGGCTGATTTATTTATTTGGTCGAGGAAAATAGAAGTGAGGTTATGTCTTATCACTTTTTATTTTGGGTTTTCCGATTTTTCGCGTGTAATAATTAAGTCCGCACCACTTTTCGTTATGTTTTATTTATTGTTGCATATTTTTTCCGTATTCAAATCGATCATTCCATCACTATTTCATGTACATTTTTTCGTTTTTTATTCGTTTTTTCACGGACGAAGTGATAACGTGAGTATTGTTTATTGAACAAATCTTATCAAATTATATTGTTATCCAAGGGTCCATAGAGAGGCGATTGAAATTCACAAACATCAACAAAATTTAAACAGAGCTGAAAAAGGAGAGAAAAGATTTAAATATAAATAAAAATTATAAATAAGTGAATTATATTTACATTTCTTGCATGTCTTCTGCTATTGGGCCTTATTATTCTCGTTTCACTTCTTTTTGCTTATATTTTTTCCAACATTAGTCTTTAAATGCTCGAAGAGGGCAGATAATATGATAGAACGCATTATTTAACGAACTGTCTACCCCTTCCCTCCTTAACCAAATAGGAAAAATTGGTTAAAATAGAAAAATAGTATTTCATACTGCATCGTATTGTGTGGTATTGTACTGTATTGTTTACCTTTAAAGGCTTATTATCTGGACTAAAATCAGTCGTGTAAAAGTGTGTTTTACACAAATATATGAATTAAAAAGCATTGTGATGGATAATGCATATTGTTGCCCCTAATTTTTTATCACAAAACACAGACATCAATAACCAAATTATTTTATCCACAATCATCAAATAATGGCAGTTTTATCCACTCATATGGAGCGTCTAAAGTGATACTTTATCCACTAGTGGAATAAAATAACTTTATTCCACTAGTGGAATGAAATCAAGAAATACAATATTTTGATTTTATTTATTGATATTAACATTAACATTTATATTACTAGATACTCCGTTGTTTGATTTGTCTTCTATAAATTCGTTATTGTTGGTAAAAAGGTGATAATTTCTATCAGCTTGGGAACGCACGTTTAGGGGTGTTTTGGCAGAATTACCAGGAACAGGAATATAAGGTGTCTCCTCTTGTAAGGGACATTTTCCCCTTGAATTTTGTTTGCAATACTAAGCTTATTGAAAATGGAATCCTTGATATAACTTTCAGCAACAAAGGAGCTCTTCCATCCGCCATGTGTATGTACGTGTGATTGTGGATAAAACGTTGTATTATATTCGTGTTTTAGTTGCATTTTATCCACTTAAGAAAATTAGACATTCTTGCGTGGATAAAATGCTTCCTAAAACACTTATACAATAAATAACTATAATATACTGGAAAATAAAGCAAAGAAGTCTTCTAATCTTCTCCTTCAAGTATATCATTTGAAAATGAGTCCTCATTATCAGAACTATCAGAATTTTCAGAATGAAGGCTAAATTTAGAATCAGAGTATGATTCATGTTCAAATGGTATTATTAAAGGAGGGACCTTACATATGTTCATGTCTCCCATGTTCTTTTTCCAGTCTTCCCTTATTAATTGTTCTGTATGATTCACACAGTTATTCCACATCACTAGAAAAATTTTAAAGAGCATTTTGCCAAACTGATGAAACTTTTAGCCGATTAAACGCGATGGAATATTGATAACCGCGGTTATATCTTTGGTCAGTTCTTTGGTTATCCTTGAAACAGCGATTGTCGACCCTTTTGGATTACCCTGAGAGAGCTCGCGTTTATGCTATGGTTATTCCGTTAACCCCATTTTTTTTGTTTATTCCGTTCTGTTCTATCTTGTGATTGTTCTTTTGTTGAATTTTTACCTGAAGTACAGTACATAATTATTATTTTTATTATTTGGTGAAGTTTAGTGTTTAGTTTTGTGTTGACCTATATCAAATCCTCAAAAATTGATTTTCCGATTAGTTCGAAGTTCCTTTTTTGGGGTTGCACAAAAAAACACTACACACAAAACACAACAGAACCACGAAAAACCCGTCAAAATCCGCCATTTCGGGTATTTCTCCTTTATTTAACTTTTCTAGACAAGGACAGAACATAATAATCTAGCTCCAAAGGTAGGTTAAAAATGGTTGAACCAAAGATAAACACAGCTGATTTATTACGTCCCAAAGGGCCAAATGATGACGGCACTACGAAATGGTCAAAAATAACCAAAACCGCGTTTACGTGAATGGTAATACCATTTTTGACTCGGTTATTAATATTCCATCGCGTTTAATCGGCTTTTGTCTATTGCCGAAAGTTCTAAATTGGAAATAAGTTTATTGTAGTCCGTTTTACAAAACCCTCACACCATTTTAATTGGGTTATACTGACAATTGTATAGGGAGGTAGTCGAAGAACATCAAAACCTCCGGATTTAAGAAATTCGTCGACTACATTTTGTTTTTAAATGTCTGAGCCATTTATAAATGGTTTAGCTAGCTGCCACAATTCCTTTTTGGTTAAATTTGGATTAATATCAATGTAGTTTTTTTTACAAAAAGGCCGAAATTATTGATTGATTAGATTTAGATAGAATTTTGATGGAGGTTTTTCTAAAATTACTGAATGATACGGAGCATTATCCATCACAATAACACATTTTCTTTCAAATTCTTTTAGATCCGCAACTAATTTATATTTTACCCAACCAAAAAATATCTCTCAATTCATTGTTTCGTAGTAATCCCTATCATAATTTTTACTTGAAAAAAGTGACCCACAATTTGGAAGAAACCCACCTCTGTAACCCGCATGTAAAACTGTAAATCTTTCTCCTTCACTTGTAATTTTGATATTGTTCATTCTCCTATCACCTTATTTCACCAACTTTGCCCGCAGGCTTCTCCAGGAATCCTGTCATTCTTCTACTGAAACGAATATGGTAACAAAAAGTTTCAAAAGGTGCTCAAAATTACCGAAAGTCTCATTGATTGAAGCAATGATTTTCCAAGCGTTTTCCAATGCAATTTTATTTTTGTGTGACGGATGTTTTTTAAATCCCACAAACAGGGAAAATTTTTCACACATTCTATGAATAACCCTTCTTCGTAAATCCAGCCATTTGAAAAATGAATGTGAAATATACCACGCGCATTTATTGTTTTTCACATTGATTGATGGATGAAAGTTAAAAGTTAGGAACTTTCAAGGTTATTTAACAGCCAAAAATTACAAATTTCATAAACGGATCAATTGAAGATAATACTTTTAATTCAATTAAAGTTATGAATTGTGAAATGAATTATAGAAATGATTCATGAATTAGGTACGTATTATGACCAGGGCTCCGCGAGACCACAAGACTAGTCTTGGTCCTGGTAGCAAGACCAAGACCAAGACCTAATAAGTAATAATAATAATAAATTTTTTATTTGCCAATACAAAATACAGTGTTTTGAACGTAATAAGTAGATACTAAAACTAGTTCTAAGATATTGACAAAAAGGAGGAATGAAAAACAATTTAAAAAAGATACTATTTAGTTCATCCCCCATGATGAGAACAAACATTTTTTTTTTATCTATGCGTGGTGAGTAAGACCATACCTGATTGCAAAAAAATAAATAAATAACTAAGAAGAAAAAAAAAGAAGAACAATAGTATACATATAAAATAATGTAAGGTCACTGATTGTGTGTGTCTTTCAGTAATAAATATTTATATTTAGTTTAAAACTGGCCAGCAGATATGTTATTATAAAGCATATAGATATTATAAGAGAAACTTCGTTCGAAAAAAGTTGTTCTGTATATAGGCGGAGAAATGTAGTCTCGATACCGGAGATTTAGCGAGTGTACGTCGGTTCGGTATTTAATTTTTCGAGACAAATACGAGGGACGCTCAGACCGTATTATTTTATGGAACAGTGTGGCAGAGTGTAACTTTCTTCTATTTTCCATTGAGAGCCATTTGGTAGCGCCCAATTTATGAGATGCAGGCTGACGACGACGAATACCATAGATAAATCTTAAGCAGGGTTTCTGGGCACGCTGAATTCTGTCTGAGTCGACCTTATCCAGACACGGGCGGTAGACCACATCTGCAAAACTGAAGTGACTGAGTACGAGAGAGTCTGTTAAGTGTACTTTTTGAGATGTTGATAAAAGATGTCTATGTGGAAAGAGTTTTTTTAGATTCGCATAAGCGCGTTGAATGCATTTATTACCGTGAGGTTTGAACCTCAAAGTTGTATCAAAAAATAAACCCAGGTTGCGACATGTTTGTGAATAAGGAATATCGTTACCGCCAATATTAATTTTCATATTGTAGCGCCCTTTCGGTTTTTCCTTTTCTTGCTTTAACGGTTATCTCGGGCGCCACCCTCAGGATTATTGTGGTTGAGGGCCCACGTGCACCAGGTAGCTTGTTACAGTGGAGATCAGGGGTCGAATCAAATGCTGGAAGTTATTCCTTCCATACTTCCTGTAAATCCTCCAGAAAACTCCAAAAGAAGACACATGAAATCACGATTAAGTTCTGGTATTTATTGCTATAAAGTTATGTCTATAAGGCAATTATTATAGTAAAATTAAACATTCCCTAAGCAGAGTGAATAGAGTGAATGAAGCGGGCGTGCAATGGAGAGAGTGAAAATGTGTATGTGTGCGTGCGTGTAGATTAATGATAACGGGCGGTTTATAAGCAAACGGTGAGCAACAGAAAATAAGAAGCGGTCATGCAATACAAAAG